CTTATTCATGTAATGGAATTATAAAAAAATATTTGTGACAAAAATCACCGTGTATACAGATTTTAAAACTAAAACGTTTTGCAGCGATGGTTCAGATATACGACACAGAAAGTCCTAGGCTGTTTCAAACGCGGGTGAGATTAATTCAGCTGTCTTTATGAACAATTCAAAACTTCGATAATTTAGAGAATTCGTTTTTCTTTGGTATTTTGCCTTTCGTTAAAATTGGTGAAGCATTATCTTGGTCATTTCCAATTTGATTGGCGCTCCTTCTATAACTGAGTTCACAAGCAGCAGGCCGCTAGCTCAGAGGGGTCTGTAAAACCTCAATGCCAAAGCAACCAAGGGGAACTGTATGGACTGGCTCCGGGACATCCTAATCGCGACAGTCACCGGTCCGATTGTGCACCCCGAACGTGTGAACCACGCTTCAAGGACATGCCCTACGGATTGGACACCGAATTGCACCCACCACTTCGCTGTCTTGCCTACCGGGGTTTGGTTAGCCGAAAGCCCCAGTTGTAAATCAAGGTGATCATGCCTTAGTTGGGGCGACCTTGCCATACACCACCCACGAACTAACCATGGGGCGATTTCTATGTTATGGAGAATAAGGTGCCGTGATTTATTTGGTTCACAGTCTGGATAAAAAAATTGAAATGCAATATATTAACAATTCTTGTGATGCTATCGAAACAGTATCCACCAATATTGACCACAACGGGACGAAGTGCATACGTGCTATCGCCTAGCGTTCTCACCCATATGACCAAGTAAGTTAGCGTGGCACACAGTTGACTAACGACAGTTACTTTTCCAGTCGATCAAACGCCAACCACATTTAACGTTTTTTCAATGAAGTATACAGGTCTCGTGTTGTATAAATATGCGATCGAACTAATGCCTTCATGTCTCGTTTTCAGGTTTCATTAAGTATACTACAGGAGCAGGAGGTAGCTAACGAGTCAACCCGCAATCACAATGCATTCCATCAGTCTGGTAAAGCACTTCAAACTTTCTCGAAACTGGGTAGCTCATAATGACCCAAAACAGTTGATATTGATATAATTTTTCTGTAACTATTGCATGTAGT